TGCAAGTGTCAAGGGCGACGAGTCCGAGCCCTACCGGGTGAATTGCCTGATTTGGTGGTGGATGTGAGCAGCTGATGGCGACACCAAACTGCGCGCTCAAGAAGAACGCGCACCGCGCAAAAATTGGCGTATGGCGCGCTGAAAAGGCGTCTATTTCGGTGTCAAATGATATCAAAATTGGAGAAAAAAGGAATTTCTCACTGTGTTGCGCAAATAAAAGATTGGAACACAACAAGAGAGAAAACCACAGAGAACAAGAGCCAGCTGGGCAAGGAGAACATATCTGGCCACCCAGCACGGCTATTCATGTTCTCATCATCCGGCCTGTCAGCCGTAATCTTCATTTCCCGTCTGCCGTGCTTCTCAAGTTCTATCATAATAAGACCCTGAGTGCACTGCCTGTGCTCCATCGGCGGCGTTTGTTTCCCTGAGCCCCGGCGGCATTCGATTCCCTGAGCTGCATCAGGGTATGTGGCCAAAAATAGCTTGGTCTAAATTCCGCACATTACGCTTCAAGTCAAGTATCTTTGTCATCATTGCCCCCCATAGGCTTGCAACCTTTCCTCTCAGCATGCCCGCTCACGACTCAAAAGGCCGTCATCAACCTGGGGAGCATGACCAGGCCGCCGAAGCTTGGCCGCATCAATGACAGGCCATCCCGAAGGCAACCTGCGATCCAGCATCAAAGCCGCCCGCCATTTCGGACATGGCTCAAAAATAGTCCGCAGACCAACCACCCCTTGAACCCTCCTTCCGATGTGCCGCACTGCGCATGGTCATGATGCGCCATCGATACTCATCATGCGCATAGTCCGCCCTTTGGCATTCAAGGCACCAGCACGGGCAGTCAATTTTAGCCCGCACCACCTGGCCCTCGGCAAGCCTAGGCCTCACCATTCGCCGTGCCGTTGATTCGCCGACCCTGAATCGGTGACAGCGTGCTTGACACCGGTGATGTGCACGTGATTTCCGTGGAGAAATCAAATCATCAACCAAGTCATGCGCTACTTCCTGGCTTGTCTTCACTCCCCCACCACGACGCTTGTCGACGCATCCCCCATCAACAAAGGTATGCTCGTTGGTGTCCCGTCACTGCTCTCGCTCATCGCAACCCCTACAGCAACTTCTTCGTCACCCTACTCAACCTTCAAGTCGGGCATTTCGTGACTGTACAAGAACTCCCGGTTAGCACTGGCGGTTCTTCGACATCCAAGGCCATTTTCTGCCTCCCGTACGTGTCTAGCGGTAAACTTGGCAGGGTTCTGACCTGTTTGACAGACGCAACTCGTTGTGTTTATTGACCAACAACGACCACCAAAACTCTTCAAGCCTGCCTCCTAGCGAGTCATGGACGTCTTGGGCGAGCACCTGTAGGTATGTATTCTTTCTCCATAAGCTCTGGCCTGCCTCACACCGTGCTAGTTTCGAGTCGTTCGGATGGGGAACTTCTGCTCGATGTTCTGCTTCATCTAGGCGTCGCTGCCGCTGCTTCTACTGGCGCTGGCGTTTTGGTCTGCGGCACCATCACCCTTACGACTCGGAGGGGGGGACACTCTGCGGAACCCTTGTTGGTATGTTTTTCCCTTTATCATATTGTGTACAGTACACTAACATATCGACCAGATTGTCGTCACGGGTGGCTACCCAATTTCTCGCTAGAGGGTGAACCTCTGCTTGGACGTCGAGTTCTTCTCCGTAAGTTGTATTTGCTCTTAACATAATAAGTGACTAATGTCCGACTTAGCCTCGCTGGTGTTCTTATCGATCGCAACCGCAACGGGAGGAAACTATGCTGGCGGCAGTGCTCCTTCCGTTTGTATCTGGTGGGGAACCTTGCTTGCGTGCGGAACTCCGGTATGTCCTTCCTCTATCCTATCTGGGATAAGACATTGACGTTCTGACTTAGATACATGGCTGTTATTGGCTTCCGAGACGGTGAACCTCTGCTCGGACACATTATTGCTGCTCGTAAGTTGACTCCGCCAAGTATGTATCGTATAGTATTGACGTATGACCCAGTGTTGTTGTCAACCATGACTGCGACTATGTCTAGAGGGGGAACCTCTGCTCGGGCTGTCCGTAAGTCGTTGCGCTTATGTGTATATGATGTCATGCTAATGCCGGGCTTAGATTCCTTGTCATTGTCAACAAGGCAACGTTGCTGCACTAGCCAAAGTATGTCCGTTCATTGCTTATATATATATATGCTGACCGCCTATTCAGAGCTCGCTACCCGTCTTCGACCAGAGGGGGAACCTCTGCTCGTATGCCCAGACCATCATTGGCCGCCATCCATCCGACACTACCATTGTGCGCAGGACCGACCACGACTATGACGTTGTTTAGAGGGGCAACCTCTGCTCGGGCAGCGTGTAAGTGGTCGCGCTTAGTCGTGTGATATAATGCTGATGCTGATGTGGGGCTTAGATTCTCGGTCGAGGCGGGGTTGCTATGGGCGCCAGAGGGGGAACCTCTGCTCGGATGCCGAACCATGCTGGTACGTTGTGATTTCATTTGTTCTGCTAAATGTCACTGATGTTGTGTCCAGATGCGCTATATTGCTTCTAGTCGGACTTCCCGGGCAGTATCTTGGCCGTTTTTGGACTGCACTTAGCGCTTACGTAAGCACATTTGGCTGATCTTTTGATGGTCAAAAAGCTCATTTTTTCACAGATTTTCACTGCCAGAGGCCAATGTACCGCCCGACTGCGGGGCTTCCGCGACGTGTGCTCGGTTTTGATCGACAACTGGTTGGCCGATGGTGCCGCCGCCCTCGGCATCGGTCGGATCTGATGCCATCATCAGATTTTGATGGTATTTTTAGGTGCATTTTGACCCACTTTTAACTGAATTCAAGGCTCACTTTTTCATAGGGTTTTGCCGCCGGAGGCATGTGTTACCGCCTGGCCATCAACCATGTCGGCACAGTGGGGCCACCACTGTTGCTGGCCGGGGAGTATCTTGGTCATCGCCTACTGCCTCCGGCTTTCCCGACTTTACTCGGGCCTCCCGCATCATGCTCTGCGGTGCCTGTCGGCCATCCTGCCGATGACCATGAACGATATCGGCCACCACTGTTGCTGCTCGCCTATTGGCTTTGTCATTGGCTACCCAGTGTTCGCAGCCACATTGCGGCCACTTTTTCTACTACCTGCTCTCGCAACACCCGGTCATCGCCAGCCTCGATTGGCTCACCCGCACCACGTTCTGTGCTGGCCCCCGAGTTGTTGGCCTCCATCACATTACCCCTCGGCCATCTCACCCCGACATCGGCGTCCATTCATCTTACACCCTCTATCCTTGTCGCCCCGCAGCACACTTACCCCCCGGCGGCCATACCCGGCCTACCCCCGGCCTTACTTGATTCGACAATGCCACTATCTGCGCTGGCCGCCAAGTTGTCACATAGGTCTTCCATTGCCTTGGCCGTCCGGCCTTCCGAGTCCGGCCTTCTTCGATATTCCCACGTGGCAGCGAAGTCATCCTCGCCGTCGTTTGACCCCGACCTGTCCCCGACCCTCGCGTCCGCCTGCAGGGTTGCTCACCGCTGGCCTTCAACGCTACGCTCTGCGCTGGGCGGTGCCGGGTTGTTGCTTGCCCTTTAACACATACTCCATGGGCTTTGCCGTCCCGACTCCCGCCTCCGAGTCCGGCCTTGACATTCGGAGTCCCTGCCCTGGCTCCGACTGGTCGCGCCTTATCGCGGCATCCCGCACGGTCAAGCAACCTCCCTTCCGCAATGGTATCCCCTTGCTGGCGGACATGCGCACATCAACGACGTTTTGCGCCGATTCTGATGGAGTTTCAAGGTGCATTTTCCACCTCTTTTGCGCGATTCAAAGCTTACCTTTTCACAGGTCCACGCCGCCCGGCAGGCATACGTCCTGCCCTACTCGGAACACTACCAGGACAGTGTTGGACCACTGTCTTGCGGGGGAAGAACCTTGACGCGTCCGCGGCGCTTTTGATGGCACTCCGGAGGGTACATTTTGCGTCTTTTTTGTGCAATTCAAGCTCACTTTTTTCACAGGTCTGCGCTGCCGGCAGGCAAACGTCCCCGCCCTACTTGCAACGCAGCCGGGACAGTGTGGGACCACTGTCTTTCGCGGGACGTGTTCGGGGGGTGACGGAAACTTTGCGCCGACCTGTTGCTGGAGAGCCCCCGCGGCGGTTTTGATGGCACTTTGGTGGAGGTGCATTTTTACCCCCGTTTTGCGTGCTTCAAGCTCATTTTTTCACAGGTCTCAGCCGCCGGAGGCCTGCGAACCGCTGGACTATCAACGCGCCCGGGACAGTGTTGCCCACTGTCGTTGACTTGGGCTATGTGGTGGAAATGGGGACTTGGGTTAGACGCGTCGCGACGCGTGTTAAATTAGCGCGCCTCGATGTACCTCTTAAAATAGAATTCCACCTTGTTCTCTGCTACCTATGCTTGCCCGGACTGCCCGAGAATGAGTAGCACCTTGTCTCCCCCAAACCATGCCCGAGACCCCCGCCAGACACGTCCAAACCAGCCCCAAATCCATTTTTTTCTCCCCTACTAGGTTTATCTCGTGACTTTCTAGAGGTCCGTGCGCCTCAGAAAGTTGTATATTAGAGTACGCTCTCGCTCGCGCGACTTGGCGAGCGAGCGCGACTTAGCGTTGGAGCGAGGCGTGCAAGGGAGGGTAACATGTTATATAAGCAGATTTAATCAATCAAAATCAAACGCGCGGAGGACGCACAGACGCACAGACGGCGCACGTCCTGAGTCGAGGCGTAGGCGGAGGACGCACACACGCACAGGCGCACACACGCACAGGCGCACACACGCACACAGTGCCACGTCGCGTCGTGTATACGCTCCACTCAATCGAAGCCTTGCTCGGTTGACCAAGCCAGCTTTGCTCATCTTCCTCCTTTCCGCCTTGCTTCCGCCTCCTGCCCAGTCACTCCTTCATCTCGCCCACCAATCAACTCCGTCCTTGTTACCTTCACCCTTGTCTCTTCTGTTCTCACCCATGGCTGGATCGGTTCTGTTAGCGTTAGCGTGGGCGGCGCCAAGAAGCTCTTCAAAGGCAACGAGCCCACCGAGGAGCTGCCCAACGCTGCCTCCAGTGCCATCCGCCAACAACCTCCCTGTTAGTAAGCACACAACCTCGCAACCTGCAGCAAACACGCAAAGCTCGCCAGCCAAGTGGCCACCGTCGCTGCCGGTAGCAAGCTCGATGTGTTCTGGCAGACGCTCACGGGCTCCGGCTTCTGGTTCCATGATGTTGGTCCCATGATGGCCTATATGGCGGACTGTGGCGGCAATTGTGCTCAATTTGACGCCAGCAAGGCCAAGTGGTTCAAAATACAAGAACAGGGCATGGATGCGAGCGGTAAATGGGCTCAGGCAAACCTTGGTGTGTCGAATCCCATCCTCATGTTAAATCTCGTTTTGACTCACCGCTCCAAATAGACAATGGCTCTCCAGCGACCGTAACCATTCCGGCGAACCTCAAGGCGGGCAATTATCTCCTCCGACACGAAATCATCGCCCTCCACACTGCGCAGTCTCAAGGCGGTGCAGAGTTTTACCCTGGCTGTGTGCAGCTCAGTGTCACTGGCGCAGGCAAGGGTGTGCCAAGCGACAGCGAGACCGTCAAGCTTCCTAGCGCATACAAACCGACTGACGCTGGGATCCTCATTGACGTGCGGCCATTCATCATGCTTATTCGCTGTACTAACCCGTCCCCATCACCAGGTCTATAACATGAAGGGCGCCTACAAATTTCCAGGCCCAGCCGTGGCCTCTTTCATTGGTGGTGGATCTCCGGCCCCAGCACAGGGTGGCTCTGATGATAACACTACCGAGAAGCCGTCCTCCCCCGCCACCACAAAGAAGAGCACTTCCCCTCCTGCAAGCTCTACCACCAAGAAAGCTTCGTCTCCGGCTTCCTCTACCACGAGTGTCGCATCCGCGGTACCGACGAAATCTGGCTCAGCTTCCTGTCGGGCGAAACGTTCCCACCACCGCCGTCAAGAGGTTGTCGATGTCCGCGAGGAAGTCCGTCGTTCCCGGGTTCGCCACATGCATCGGGCTGGCGTTGCCCGTTCCTTCTGAGCACAGTTTTGCCATTGTTCCACCACAACCCCCGATTACTCCGTCCACATTATCTCCGACTCCCCTCCCCCAACAACTCCCGTCCATCCTTTACATGACCACGTCCCCAGACAGCACTGTCTCTTCTTGATACGAACCCGCTTTCCGACCCTTGCTTTGCACCTGCTCTCGTACCACGACCGTATCGCCAGGACGCGATGCTTGTAGTGCAGCCAGTCCTGCGCGCTTATGTACCTATCTTGATGCTTCGATAGTATTACCTTCGAGCTGGGCCCCATGTACTAGCATACAGGGCTAGAATCGAATCCTAGTTTTGATTTAGACTCAGTGTGGACAGCCTTTGGGGGCTGAAGGAGCAACAGTTCAGAAATGTTGTCAATTGATTTTTCGGTGAGATACACAAGTTCCAGCGAATATACGAGCTCCAACTCCAGTATCTTGAATTAAGGTCAGCCTCGGCTTAATACGAACAAAGAAAAAAGACATACCACTTCCCGCCTGCATCGAGCGCGATGCCGCTATAACGCTGAGTGACGGATGTCGAGCGCGACCTGTGTATCAAGGTCAGCTTGGGGTAAATACGGAAAAAGCGCGAGATAACATACGACCAGGCGACAGTGAACCACATCCCGGCGTCATTCGTGCAGCGCAAGAGCCACCCGGCTCAGCAAGACAAAAAGAACATCCCCCCGCGCGTTTGCGAGCTCTCCAGCAAGCGCATCCACCAACAGCTTGTATTAAGGTCAGCTGGGGTTAAATACAATGAGAGAGCGACCAGAGACTGACCATCATCGAGCGCGAGGGCCGGTGTCCAGCAAGAACTGGGAGTTTGCTTCAGTTTCGCCCGACTTGAGTCAAAGACATGTACGCACCAGCAACTCCGCTCACGTTTGCCCTTCGACAAGGTGAGGCTACGGACAATAGCCATAAAAGACCGCGGCAGTGTCCACACGGCTGCGACGAACGATAAGTAAGATGCAAAGCGAAGCAAAAGGAAAGTCTCACCTCTTAGCATACCGCTGGCCAAACAACCAGCACTTTCACCGAGGCGTGCTAGTGCTGCAGCTGCGTCCCCGGCAACTACGAGACCCGCGGCCCGCCAGAGTGCGAGCGCGAGTACCATCCGCAATGGCCCGCTCGCTAACCCAGTGGACGCCAGACAAGCTAAACGACATGGCGGGCAAGACGAAGGAGCGTGGGACCACAACCGGCCGGCCGGGCGCGAGGCCCGGGCACGTGTCGCTGACCACCCTTGCCCGCTAGCCCACCGACGGACCTGCCCATGGCCTGGCCCGAGCTACGTCTTTGGCCGGCGCGCGGAAGCGCTCCAAGTCGGCAAGCAGGACGGCCGCGAGCACTCAACTCGCACAACCACTAAGTAATAACAAATCAACAAAAGTCTCCCCGGCAGCTCAAAGCCGACCTTCCGCACTCGACCAGCATCACGGGCGGCTGCCTGTAGCCTTCCCCGAACCACTGCCGCCGCCGATTCCCGCCGAATCAACGTCGCTAACGAGAAGTCAGTCGGGGAACAGCGAGAAAGAGAAAAGACGCACGACACGCGGGGAACGATGCGGCCTCTGCGGCAACACAATGCCGCCCTCCCGCGATCGACCAGCTTCACTGGAAGCTATCTCCCGAGCCGCTGCCGCTCCCGATTCGCGCCAAATTGGCTATGCTAACTTGAATGTAGAGTCAGTGGATGAGAAAGCGGGAGGCAGAAACCACGCACGACAAGGGAGACGCAGAGGAGACCTGTCCATCGCGATAGCGCAGAATGTACAGCACGACCTTGGGCTTAAGGTAAGCTTGGCCTAAATACGGAAAATGACCGAGAGGACTTACTGACAACAGCACACCCTCCCAACGTTCCGCATCCAGCGCGAATGCCCGCATCGTCAACGCGGAGCAGAATCTGTGGGTTCTGGGTCAGCTTTGCCCAATTTGAAAGATAAATGAGCATGATATGCCCCCGCTCACGTTGAGTGAACACGCAATAGCGCAGAATGTAGAGCACGACCTTGGGATTAAGGTAAGCTTGGGCTAACTACGAAAAATGACCGAGATGACTTACCAGACAACATGACATCCTCCCGCCGTCATTCGTGAGTTCCGCACCCAGCGCGTTCGGCGCAAATGCCCTGCATGGTCGACATGGAGCAGAAACTAGAAGTCGGGTCAGTTTTTCCCTAGTTTGAAAGGTATTCTCCTGCTCACGTTGGCGATTGAGCGATCGCGCGTGGAGGAATCTGCACAGCTTGGTCAGAAATATGGGCAGCAAAAGTAGCTCTTGCGCAAACTTGGACCGAGAAATTCAGAGCAGTCGGATGCCCGATGTTGATCAAGAACCTGCAATTAGGTCAGTTTTGGCCAAAGCGGGCCAAGGAGCAAGACGGCCTACCGGTCCCGCTCGCAGAAGGAATAAATCGAGCTCATCTGCAACGCAAGCACCACTGACTCGGACGCAAAGGTTAGCCATGTCAAAATGGGCACAAAACAGCAAGAACATCGAGGTTTGTCGACGAGCAGGCCATCTAGGACAACCAAAGGCCCTCGCTCTTCAATACTATTCACGGCACTAACAAACAGTTAGAAAGCTTTTCGACAACGATGTTAAGGACACTCACGAGGGAGTTGAAACCGGGCGACAAGGCCAGAGGGCTGACCATATAGATATATGTATTGTCTAAGCGAAGACAATATCAGCAACGTTCAATCGTGATATCTGCAGACAAAGAAACTTACATACCATGCTTGAACAACGCAATGCTTTCTTGTAATTGGCGGACAACGATGCTTCTGGCCCAACTAGCACGGAAGTTTCTGATTCGCGACACAGGCTAGAGAAATTTGGATAAGATCGATAGAAATTGGAAGGGAGATGACACACCTTTGACAACGACAACAACGATAGCGACAGCAAATAGAACAACCTTGTTTGAGGCAGAAGACATAGAGTGACTGCAACAGGGTCACCGAAAGCAGAAGAGTCAACGAAGAGAACTCACCGACACCAGCATTGCTATCCAAGAGCCGTCCAGAAGCGAAGACAGTGGTCGAGTACCATGTGGGCAAGGGCTTGAGCAAGTGTTCAGGATAGTGTGAAAGAAAGAGTAGGTAGTAGACTCACCGGAGTGGACCGAGCCATGATGCGTGCCCATTCGCATAAACGCTTGAAGATCTAAAGTCCTGCGAGATGTAAGTAAAGCGTGTGAGAAACAGTGATATACAGCGTACCTGGGAGCAGTGTAGAGCTTGCTGAGGGCGTTGGTGTTGGCGTCGGCATGGGCACGGGCTTAAAGGAAGTGCTTCTACTAAGTAGTGGTCAGCATGCTGTCGCAAACCAGAAACGTGCACGTGAGACATACCACGGCCCGGACAGGCTCCCTTTGCACTATCCCAAGGTCGGCCACTGCCCGCCACTGCCGACAGTCGCGTCAGAGGGTGGAGCGCGATTTCGATCGTGTTGGTTGGTTGAAAGTCGGGCGGGCACAGCCTCACACGGGTCGATCGATCACACGCTGACAGCGGCCTTACGAAAATTTCCCTCACACCCTCACTGTCCCCGACGATGGCGCCTCCGCCTCGGGGCCTCAGACGCTCAAGACACGGCCTTTACGCTGCCGCACATGACACGGCGGGCAACCCAGCCATCACGCTCGCAATCTCAAAATCTAACGGCAAAAACCATCCTCCGCCTCCCGCCAACACCTGCACCAGCCACCAAGACCATCGCCATGCTGCCGGTGACCATTGAGCGAGAACGGCCAGCGCTATCCAGACGCGGCAACTCGGCAGCTGCTGCTTTTCGCCAAAGATATCCAAACGAAGCCGTTTGTCGGCAGGGAGGTAGCCGCCAACGCCAAACCAGGCTCGCTCGACACGTCCCTTGCCGCCAATGACTCCGCACCCATCTCCAAGGCTCTGCAAAATAAGGTCAGCGCTTCAATGTAGAGTCAAGTCGGCCAGAACACGTACCCCCTTGGATCGCAAAATCACCCTCCTCGACGACGACACCTTCCCAGCTCCATAAAACAAGTCCCGACCTAAAGCGACGGCATCAGTGAAATAAAAAGTCTACGACACCCTTCTGTGCTCGCAAAAGCAAGTCAAGGACAACGATCGATTCTGTATATCTTAAGGTCAGTATTGGCAAAAGTCGCGGTAACAAGGCTTACCTCGAGAATTAGACCGTCCTCCCAATACGAACGCCCACGTCATTGTCGTCTGCCATAATGTCAAGCTCGATCTGGGTCAAAATTGGGGAGAGGGAGGAAGTGGAGGCGAGTTCTGCGATGCGGTTAGCGAGGGGGACAAGAGATGGCAAAAAGTGGACGAACTCTGACCAGAAACAACTTTCCCAACGCTGACCAACAAATGGGCGGACTGCGCGAAGACTCTGCAACAAGGTCAGCGTGAAAAGCAGTAACAAAACTTACCTCGACAATTAGACCGTTGTTTCGATCCAAATGCCCATCTCGTTGTCGTCTGCCAACAAGTTAGGCTCGAAATGGGTTAGAAGCGGGGGGAGGGAGTGGAGGGGAGCTCTGCCAGGCGGTCAGCAAGGAGGGCAAGATAAAGCAGAAGGTGAACGGACGGCTACCCAACCCAAGAGCTGTCGAGGGCGAAGAAGATTCTGCAACAAGGTTAGCAAAGAAGCGAAGGATAAGTAGCACATGCAAGTAGAGGCCGATGTGCGACGGCGGGATAGGATGTTGACTAGAAGTAGTTAGTAGTATGAATGGAGGAAAGAGTGCCCACCAAGCAGGACGACGACGAGCGAAGAGCACGTGAAGTTGACTTTGGGTGGATGGTGGGGGAAGAAAGAGGGGGAGGTGCGCGACGGTTGAAGGCCGTGGCTTCTTATACTCCCTCGGTGACGTACACCGCCCGGGCTGGATGCTTTCGTTATCTTCGCAAAATGCTGAGTGATTAAGTTTGGAATGAGAAGATGTTAGTTGACGACGGCTAAGCGAGCTATTTTGAGTGCCGCACTGGTT